ATCACACACTCATTCCTCATGTGATCAAGCATGTCAACTAGGATGATCTGTTCCATGATCTTCTCAGGCACAGAGGTGAGACTCACTGGCCTGTAGTTCCTGGGGTCCTGGTTATGTTAGAGGAGAAAGTAAGTTAGTGTCCTCTTCATACGTGGAAGAATGGGCATATCAAAAGAAAAGTTCAACAATGACAGTGTATCAAACATTAGGTTAATGGTGTTCATTGTTAAGGCTGATTATGGAATCATAATGACTGGATTCATCCTTATATTTCAAGATAGACTTCATATATCTTTATCAGAGACAAAACATCAGTGATTAAACTTAATGCTGGACAGAACAGACTAAGAAGGCCTTTAAAGTTATTTTCAGCTTATGTTATTTCAGGCTCGTGCTGTGTCTCTCTCCTTTCACTCAAAGAGATAAATGGTATTATTTCAACCTGGGAAAAGTCTGCATTTCAGACTTCCAGATTATATACATCATTCTGGAAGTTAGAAGGTTCATTAAGGGTATTTAAGCAAATCATTCATGTTTTATCCTTATGCTTGAATTCTCATAAGATTATATAGTTCTATTATCCTTGAAGGAGCTAGGATGATTTCCTCAAGCTGAATGGGAACAGATAAAATGTATGAAATGGCTTTTCTTCCTATTAGGATGACTCTTTTATTTCATTCTCTGCCCTTTTTTTGTCAATTCTTCCCCCTTCTTCCTTCCTTCCTTTTCTGTTCACTACTGACTATAATAACTGTCAAAAACTACGTGGTGTCTATATGGCTAATAAGGTGATAAAGAAAGTGACTGCAGCAACCCTTCTTGAGCATGAGTAGGGTAAAATAACATACATTCCAGAGGATTGTGCTGTATTAGCAATGCCTATAAATAACTAGATAATGTTGTACTAATATAAGGGATATAAAACACAGAAGGGGATGAGAGCATACTTACTGGGGCTGTGATTAGGATTGGCTTTCTTCCCAGTCAAAGAATTGAAATCTTTTTAATATTATTATGAACCAATATTATGCTGAAAAGGCAATACATTTTGTTAAATCATCAAAGCAGATCTACATATTCAGATCTAAATGAAAGATATTTTATTTATAATCATCCTCTTTTCTCTCTAATTGTATATCCATTAATTTAGCTCTTTCATATCACATTACTGAAAATGAGTTTTCCTATCTTTCTATCATCATTTGCAAGTAATTTGGTAAGGAAAGAATGTCTAAGTTCTCATTTGAGTTTGTAATTCCCTGAGCCTTGCATTTTCACAATGTAGCAGCTGAAATATGACAAATAATCCTCATGTAGGAAAAGTAGTCTTGTAGATATCACAGGAATTAGCAGACTGTAGTAAAGAATGATAGGAAATCAAACATATACTCTGAGCTGATATCCTGACAAGAACTACTCTCATTACACTTATATCACCCTTGCTTCTCCATGGCCTTTTTTAACATGTGGATGTTTTGTTCTGGGTCATTAACTCAGTGTCCACAAGATTAATTAAATTAATAAAATAGCTAGAGCGATAAAGTATATCAGTAAAACAAAATAGAGCAAGAAAGTAGAGCAGTTTTCTCCATTACTAAAAGAGGGAGTCGTTTTTCTGTAAAAGCAGAAATACTTTCATGTAGAATCAACAAATAATTTCCAGGATAACTAAGTGGTCTGATTTAGTTCTGTCAAACAACTCCTTGGTTTTGTTTAAGATCAATTTTTTTTCCATCAGAACCCTTGTCTGAAGTGGTACAATTTGAAAACCAAATTAATGAAGTCTGAGATATGAGCACCAATACACTGATAAGTAAAGTAACTAGTTAGATTGTTTTCACTCACTTGCTTTGTGAGTCTTTTATGGAGATGAAAGTACTGGCTTTGGAGTGAATTCAACATAGCAGATATATAGAAAACAGTCTGCCATTGACAGTTGTGAATTGCATCTTCTAATGAATTGTTCTGTTAAATAATTGACCCAGTCCACTGACAACACATACTTTGCCTTGCATGGATTTTCTGTCAGACTCTTTCTGTTCAAAGAGGTTTATATTTTTTCACACTAATATTAGTTGTGCAGTATTAGTAACTGGAAAATTTAATTAACACAATATTAATACCGTAATTAGTACAACCTGGTATTTGGTTAGTCAACTGAATTTTACTGACCCTTAGAAATCATTTATATGACCTAGTACTTACTTAGCTGGCTGAATTTTGCTGAACTTCAGAAATATTTCTCCCTTTACAATACTCTTGTCATAAGCAAAAGAAAATAACTGTTGCTAGGTTGTTTCCATAATGTGCTATGTATTTTAGTAACAGTAATTTTCTGATCCTTGTGATTAACAGAAACTTTCCGTTTTGCACTGAAAAGTAGTAATTCAAAGAAAGATGACTAGAAACTGTAAGATAACGCTTTTGGGTCCTTGTTGCTGTGAGATGATGTCAGCTGACCTTAAAGCTGTACAAGGTAAGAACAGGTAGCATACAACTACGCTTCTGTGCTGGAATCTTTTCACTGCAACCAGTATTGGCAGGGATGTTACCTAGACTAGGTTTAAACTAAAATTCATTTGAAGCTGCTTTCTTCTATGTTTTTTTTCTGCATTGACAAATGAACTGAAATGGAAAGAGACCTGGCATAACTTGAAAGATTATTTGCTATTAGCTAGCTGCTTGAAAGGCTTTTTTTAGACAAATATGTAAAAGATCAACCAATTTATGTTATCTATATAACTGACTTTTCAACTTGCCAATACAGGAATGAAAGGCAATGTGAACTCTCAAGGCTAAGTCCCACACAGGAATACAAGTTTGCCACTTAAAATGCCTAAAATTTTTGTTCCAGGATCTCCACGTTCTGATCACTATTGAACTCTGTTAGTGTATGTATCTATTCTGTGATCTGCACCTAGGACCTTTCAACAGATATGTACTTTGGCAGCACTAAAATCAGCAACATCTTAACATCTGAAAGACTTGCCAGCTGGGAATTTTTCTTCTTGTTAGTGGTGCCCCATTCAAAAGGACTTTTCTGAATATTTTCTTCCTTTTGCAGAGGAAATGTGTAGGAGGCAGCAATAAGGAGCAGCTGACAGTGAATACAGATCTAGAGCATTCAGCAAAGGCACACAAGACTTCTGTCCAATTTATTGTTTGAACCTGTGGCTCCAAGAGGTAGTCTCAGGTATACTTTATCTTCACCATAAAAGATGCAACAAAAAATACCAGAATGCTCTCTGGAGCTTTGATCATGCAGAGTTTGGACTGGCTAATTTTTGGTCATATACTGAAACAAGTCTGTATCTTCAATATAAACATAATTCTTAATTACTTTAAGAGACAGGTACGCATGTCATATTCTTTTGGTTGAATTCTGCTTCTAAAGGCACTGTGACAAATCCCTACTCAATAAGCAATAAGTTAGAATGCCCACCTGATAAGCAGATTAAAAATAAATTTTTAAAAAATCAGTTTTTCCTTTTTCTACTCTTGAGTTTCATTTCAGCAGGAAATATTAGCCCTGCAAATAGAAAACCCCAAATTTAAGGTCAAGTGAAGCAGATTAGAACTTAATGTGTGAAAGCAGTTGTCCTTCCTTCCTGCTCTTTCTTAAAGGACAAGATCTTTTCATCAGTGACTACCATTATTCCACTCTGGACCTTTGAATTTCCTTTGCTTCGTCACTTATGTATCTGTAAAAGCTCCCCTCACTCCTTTCTCAAGATACTTTCTAGCTACAGGCTGTTTCTTATTCATCAACCCACACAGTTTTATTATATTCCTGGCCTTGCTTTCAAGAGAGGAAGCCTACAGAGGGTGGTGCAGGAGTCAGTCAGCATCATCTAGAAATAAGCAACTACCCTCCTTGCTTCCCAGCTATAACTTTTTCACAGAAGGCACTATACAGTAAATTGAAAGCAAATCAAGCTGTTACAGCTGCCGCCAGAAGAAATCCTGCAGGTTCTACACAGTTTTATCACTTAGCCGTTGTCTCATAGTGCAGCTCCCTTCCTTGAAGCTATGAAAGCTGTGTGGACAAAAGGTGCATGAGACAGCAGCCTAGTGACAAACATACTGAGTAGCTCCAACTTCCACTAGCCTGTTTCTCAGATCCCTGCTGTCTCTTTCCCCTGCAGTTCCTCATCTCTAACCCAACTCCTGAATTACTGCTTGTCCTTATCTGTCCAGCCTAGCCTTTCCTGTGTGGCCTTTCATATCCCTATTACTACGTGATATCTTCCCAGTCTCATCTGCTCACTCTCTTTCCACTCCCATTTGCTCTCACATTTTACTCAAAGACTGAGATTATCATGAGTAGATCATCATCTCTATTCTAGCAGATAAGTCTTGTTTCCAGTTTTGGATTTACCATTCAGTACATTGCTGATGGTCCACACTCCGCTTTGACTGTTGATGTGGAAGAACTTGTGAAACACATGCCTCAAAAAAGGTAAACAAAATGAATGCAGAGGGAAGATTGGATGAGAGTATGTGCTGTGTTAATAAACATACACATAGCAGAAATCTGACTGGGGATTACCAAACTTAAACTCATTGTGAGTCCTCAGAGAAAGGGGTGGTTTTTTTTAGGGTATTTTAGAGAGTAAAATCTAGATGTTGACACTAGGCATAGGTTTTGACTTCTTGTTTTCTTACCTAATTAGTTTTCTTGATTTTTTTCAAAACCTTAGAAAATAGTTCACTTCAAATTAGACAGTCTTTTTGAGTGTGGCTTGCTGAGTTGCCACCACTTCATTTCATGAGTAGTGGATTGAGCCATTATTACTTCAAAGTCAGTCATATTGTTGTAGATATGCTTAAAGAGCAACTCTTTACCCAAGGAAGAGTGTATGGAAACTGCTGAATCATGGCCTGAACCTCTGATTGATCACCTGAGGCGAGCGATGAGTCAGCCATGGGAGAACCTGTGAAGGCTCTCCTAGACCCATTTAAGAACTGACTACCAGTAAGAAAGGGTCTTTTCTGAAAATCCCTCCTCTGGAGTTTTGCAGGGAGCCTAGGACGCAGGTAAGCTTTCTATTTATTCTCTTTTTGTTATTATAATCTTTGCCAAGCACTCTTGTTTATTTCATAATTATAACATCTTTACATTCATTGACTATATAGAAAAGTATTTTAATCTCTAAGTAAAACTGATTCTTCAGCTTCCCTTTCTCCTCTCAAGAAGCTTAAGCCTTCTCTGCATTTATACTGATGTAACATCAAGAGCATAACAAGATGGTTGGCCTTAGGTGAAAAGCTAGAGGAAGAACTACTTGAGAAATATATATTTGGGTAACTGGTCAATTTCTAGTATAAAAGCCTTTGGACATCACCAGTGAATTGCCTCTAGAATATCTTTCAATAACTAGTACAAAGTAGCAACTCTGCCTAAATGTCTTTCTGTATTGAAAATATCGAGGGGGGAATTTTTATTTTATTTTTATTTTTTTTTTTTTGAAGGTGTATATTATTAAATACAGTTTTGGAGAAGTGAACTGGCAAGAGTTTGAGGGGCTAGTCCTTAGAGGTTTTAAAGTAATCTCACATTCTATTCAGCTGTGTCAACAAAGAGCCCAAGTCATTACAGTTTACAACCAAAATATGAAATTCACAACCTCGTAGAGAAGAGCTTTAATTAGAACAGCTTCTGCAGTATGCACTACTCAGCCCTGTTCTTAAAAGTCATTACAAAATACATTCTTTTTCCTGCAATAGCCATCTTTGTCCATATTGTTATTTTTAATGGTCAAATTAAACAGTTTTAGAGAAAGGGGCTGAGGAATTAAGCAATGCAGTTTTTGTGAGCTTTATCAAAAATGCTTTCAAATTACATTTAAACTGCACCTTTCAGGATTGGATTGTTCCTTCTAAGTGACACTGAATTTATCGTGCCAAATAAGAAAAAAAGTGAAATGTCTCAGAAAAGTAAACCAGTGTCTGTATAATTTAATGATATATCTAGTTGTCTGCTCAGTACAGGAGACAGAAAGTCTGAGTTTATAAAATGTTCTTTCAAAAATAAACTGCAAGACCAGTTAACTTCGTGCTCTTAAAACTCCCATTGTTACAGACCCAAATGGGTTGCACAATATACAAAAAGCAGTCTTTTTTACACAGCTATTTACAGATAAGAATGAAGAGTTGTGAAGGGATATTGAGTAAAATGTAGCAAAAATGTCTGTCTAGCATTACATGTAGTCTTCAGAAATAGATAACGCACCATTCTTTTTATTAGTTTCATTTCATTATGCTAGTATGTAAAATGCCACCAGAGAGTGGTCAGCTTCAAAATGTAGCATACGTATACAAGTATTTGTGGGATAAATAGATAAGCCAGTGAGAGAAAAGGAAATGAAACATAAGATTACTTATCTTAAAACAAGTCATGTCCAGGAAGACTGCATGCTGTGATTGTCACATCCAGGTTCATGCTGGACCAGTGAAATATCTGAGCAGTCATTGGCACTGTAACACTTCTAAACTAGTCTAAGACTAGATGTTTAACTAGAAGAGTGTAGTTATGCAAGCACATAGAGTAGAAATGTTTTAAATTAATATCTCTTATTAGATTTACTGCTGATCTGTCATTTTCACCAGGACAATTCATATTAATTCTTATCAAGGTGTGCATTGTGTGTATGCATGCCTGTGTTAAGGGAGCATTTGGAGTGTTGCTATGGTCTACGAATTCATTCTCCTGCACTCTACCAAAAGAAAGGAAGGGAACACAATGACCATCAGGTGTATCAATATAAAGGGCTTATAGAAGGTGAAGTATCTCTGAAGTATCTCAATCAGCAGGTCCAGCATGAGACAAGAGGTACCAAGTGTTTGTATAACATTTGTAAACTGTGTACTGTAAGACCTGCTCAGGCTGCTCACATAGCCTGTGGGGCCCACAGGACCAATATGTTATTGCTATATGGTACTCATATCTTGCATGCCTGAGTGCCCTGAGCAGAAGCTTCCACTCACCTCATCTCACGATTGCATGTGCGTGTGTATGTTTATTTTTAGCAAAGTCAGGCTCATCTGGTCACCAAAGAAAGCAGCCACACTCATGCGCCAGGAGCCTGAGGATCATTATTCTTTTGTGGGACCTCAATACCTGGCAGTTTTTGAGTGTAAAGACTAGAAAGAGGGCATTGAGATAGCTTTTGTTCTCTGTGGTAGTTTGGAAGTTATTAGAGACATATGACCTGCTCTTGAAATTTTCTTTACCTGCTCAGGTTGTGATAGCAGTGCCTATCTCAATTCCACTTTTAAAATGAATATAAGTTCTCTTCTGCTGATATAGGATGCATTACAATTTACATTTAAAGCTAAGTAATAGTGTACAATGATCCTTTCACTTACCTACCTTCTCAGCTACTTTGCTCTCTCCCTGCTATACATACAATAAGTTGCTCATGCAAAACACAATAAAGGACCTACGATTCTTTTTTAGATACTAGCAAAAAAAAAAAAAAAAAAGGGGGGGGGGAGAATGGAGGGGTGGGGAGGAGAATTTCCCTCTTAATTAGTAAATATATGGAGTTTTAGAATTTTAAAGACCAGGATCAATAATACTGTTTTTGGGTTTTGTTTTGTTTTTTTTTTTTTTTCTGGAAGAAATGGCAGTGCTATATTACCAGATATATTTCAGCTCTCAGGGTAAATACCCTACCAGCTTCATATCAGCGCAAAGTTCTGGTACATATTACACCCTTCAGTCATCACATAGGGCACATCAGAGATGATAGCCTATAGACGGCTTAAATTGACTTCCTAAGCACCATAAACTTTCTGTAGGTGAAGTCAGTACTGTGTAGCTTGTGAAGTCTCATATTTTACTTCTTAAGACTTACAGACTGGTCTCAGATGTCTCCTTTCCCTGCTCCACAAGACTATAATCTTATGACGACCATTGATTTTTCAATTTAATGCTCAATGTTCAGCTCCCACCATGGAGAAAGTGATTTTTATCTTGTTATTTGTACCATGGAGTTATTCTAGAAGGAGCGACACTAACACTGCCACAGGAAGAGGGAAAATATGTCATTTATCACCATAGCCTAGGGGTATAAGAACAGACTGAGAAAATCATATTCTTCCTTTTTTTCTTTTAAGGCATTTCTATCATGACATTACTATATGAAAGATTAATTTCTGGTGTTGGGGTTATTTTTTTTTTCTTTCTTGAAGCTTAAAAACTCACTGAATTTTAATAGGATGAGAAAATTCTCTGTAGACTGTAATAGCACATACTGCAGCATACAAAATCTTCCAGATGTTTCTCATGGTACAAACTATCAGAATACCTGATTGAATGGAAAAATCCTCTGTAGAACATGGCTCTGTAATACACAATTAGAAGTGCTCACTGGAAGAGAACAAGAGAAGTTCCAGCTTTGTTCAAACACTGATGGATGTTTTGCCAGATTCCTTGATCATGACAGGACATTGCTTTGCATTTTCCTAAAGAAAGAGCTCCCTCTTCTACTGGGAAGATATAAGAATACCTTTATGGCATTGACCTGTCTTAGTCCCTTATATCCTGAGAAAATGTAAGGAGGTCCTTGATGAAGCACACATCTGCTTAATCTTGAACTGTAACTCTCAAGATGGAGCCAACTCAGGTTTCCATATTATAGCATGCTCTTTTGTGAATCCTTAGGAGTGTCTTCTCTGGTACCTTTCTACTGACTTCTTATCTGTTATTTCTCCCATCCTGTGTCAGAGGAACTCCTCCTGAGTGAATGCATGTCTGCAGAACTGATCAAGATATCTTTTCTAGCACCAGCCATGGAAGGGAGGCTACCATTTAGGGCAGGTAGTGAATCATGCACTGTAATCATGCTCTGAGATAGTCTGGTTCTTCTGCTTTCAGCGTGATCTTATAGAGGCTATGCCTTTCTCTCCTGAAAAGAACATATTATTTGCAAGTTATAGAGGTATTTTACTGGGTCTTGATAGGCAGGAGGGATTTTTTTTTTTTCCCTTTTTTTTAAATGATGTTTATGATGATATAGGAGTACTGTGTACAGAAACCTGAGTGTGCTCACTAGTGACTGCCCAGCAAGCACCTTCTCATTAGTTGCAGTTCTATGTAAGCAACCAGGTGTTCATGCTCTGTATTATTCTGAATGAAGGCACTGACATCAATAGCGCAACACATTCCACAGAAAGTGATATAGGCATCTGCATTAGGAGGGGTGGGTAGAATCGGGGAGCTGAGTCTAGCCTATATTTAGATAAATAGTTACAGCCAGATAAAGCACTCTGTTAATATTTATATCAACATTATTAACACTTAATATTAAATTGATACATAACACATAAAACATTTATATATATATATATTATAATACATTTATAATATCATCTGAAGATTGATACTTGTCTGATTTTTGCGGGGTCAGTTTTTCTGATAAGTCCCGTGGTGTTAGTTGTCCTCTTCTGACCAGAGATTGTGTTGTCTTTGGGAACTGAAGAGTATAGAAGCCTTCATCAGGCCTATGTGGGTGTCTACTTAACAGTGTCAACTACATGAGTTACTGTGGTCTTCTGTGTATTTACAGCTTGCAAGGATTTTGTATCATTCTAAATATGATTGCCTCTAAGCAGAGAAAGTGCATAACAGATGCAATGCAAAATCAATATTATCCCACTGTTTAAACCACAGTATTTCCTGTTCACTTGTCATATTTTATTTACTATACTTTTGAAAACAAGGAAGATTAAAAAGTCACATGACATGTTCTTGTGCTCTTTATGAACATTCCGCACAGCCATTAATCCAAAAAGATTCCAAGAAAGACAACTGACAGAACAGGAAAGCTTCCAATCTAATTGACATGGGTGAAGGGGATACCCAAAGGTCATAACTGTTGTGTATGTTTTTTGTCTCAGTAAGAAAGGAAAATGATTTTTTCATATAAAACTTTCTCTTGGTTCTGCCATTCTGCAAGTTCTGGGAACACATCAAAGGATTCCAATGTGCCCTGGCTTTACTTGAGCAGTGTCTGATAAAAGTATTTGTCGGA